CAGTTCTTAATGTTTAGTTTGTTGATCCCCTCATAGATACACAGAAGTTAAAGAATGTAATAGTCCACAGTTCATTTTAAAAATAACTGTCACTTTCTCATAAATGATTATCTGATTATTGCAGTATTTTTGTACGTCTCTAAATTAACATGCTTGTTTTGCTGCTTTTTTCACTTGCTTTGCTGCTTTTTTCATTATTATTCACTTCTGCTGTTGAGTTTAGTTCTTTGCCCTTACTGTATCTGATTTTCAGTCTCTCATAGTTCCTTCAGACTTTGTTAGATCAGTATTCACTGTTTACACTCACTGATTATCATAGGCATTATTTTCATTTGAACCATTGTAATATGTGTTTAGTTTTTTTCTTTCCTAACATTTTCTTTCCCTTGAAGATAATTGCCTTCCCTTTGCTCTAGTTTTCTTTTTTAAATTTACTTACCACTAATTTACATCTTTGTCAGCTGTCTAAACTGTGTGCGTCTTCCATTTGTTTCGTGTTCCTGAAGAAAACGCTGCTGAAATCTTTTGGCTGGGACTCATTTGTACCAGCTATATGCTAGTCATGCTAGAATCTATTTTGCCTGGTTTTGTGTTGGATGTCCAACTGCTTGATTGCACAGTTCATGGCATATCATGGTAGAACTGATAACTTCTTGAGGAAAGGGCCTAGGAGGTAGATTTTATGAGACCTCGTGTGTCTAAAAAATTAAAAGGTCTTAGTATAAGTGTATGGATTGCATACAAAATTCTAGGTAAGAAATAATTTTTCCTCAGGATTTTGATCACATTGCTCCATTACTTTTTAGTTTCCAGTGTTGCTATCAAAACTCTGAAGCAATTCTGATACTTACGTTTTTGTGTATGATCTGACTTTACTGACCAGAAAAATGTCTCATTTGTCTGCAGTTTCTAAAGTTTCACAGACCCTAGTTATAGGTTTGTTTTCATTCATTGTGTTGGGTACTTGTTGGGTTTTTTCATTATGAGAATTCTCTCTATTAGAAACAAGTCTTGCTGTTAGAGATCTCTCTTCCTACTGGGGATTGAACTCTCTGCTGAGATAACCCCCAAGGCTGGGTTTAAACTTGAACTTGGCATCCTCCTGCCTCAGATTTGCAGAAGCTGGTGTTACAAGTATGTGCCACGATGCCCAGCTAATTTTATTATGTTACCGTACAGTTCTCTTAGCATATCAGTTACAGATTCTCTTGTGTTAGAATTTAGAGTCTATTGAAGAAATTTGAGCACATCATTTTAATTATTTAATAGGAATAGTACCAAGGAAACATGGAGGAAGCAGGGACTTTTTCCTGAGAGACTCAAAAAAGACTTCATAAAAGTGATAATGTTTGAGCTGTATTTTAAAAAGGGTGTTGCTAGCAGATGGGGTGGAGAAAGGTGTTGTAAGGTAGAAGTGGGTGGTGAAGAATTCAAGGTGGCCGAAACAGAGTGGACAGAGGTAAAGAGATAGATGAGAAGACTTCACAGGTGGGTCTGGACTAGATTCTGCAAGATATTTTGCAGCCTACTAGGAATTTGATATAGTTTATGTCATGTAGATATTAGAGGTCTTTCAGAAAGGGAGTAACAAATACAGTTTGTTTTTAAGGAGGTCTGACAGTTGAATAGGGAGACAGGTATCAGAGCAAACGTTTTGTTGGGACTTACGGTTTCCTGAGTAAGAATAAAAATCTCAGTTGAGATAATGTCTTTGAATATGGCTTTATTCTTGTTTATCCAGTAGAATTAACAAACATTGGTGACCAGGCATGGGGACTAAAGATGGAGAATCGTGATTTCTCATGTAAGAGCCTGGAATGAATAGTGATGATATTTTCTGGGATTGGAAAGATAGTAAGACTGTGTTTTAGGAAAATTGTATGTTTTTGGTTTTCAACATGCAGTTTTTATATAACATTATAGAATACAAGTGGAAATGTCCATTTCAAACATGGAAATACCTGTCAGCAACTCAGAAAAGAGGATGAACTTCTTTTAGGCACTGAAAATATAAGATACAAGAATTAAAGATTGGCTCAATGGTAACACAGTTGAAACCCCAAGAGTGAAGACTGTCAAAGGAACACCACATAGCTCTAAAAGAAGGCTGGAAGGAGGTGGGTAGGAGACAGTCAAGCATAGAGAAGGTGGAGGCTACTGTCTTACGCAGTGCTTTTTCTCTCCTTACTTTCAGTGTTTCTATGAGACAATAGATATAAAGTACTTATGTATTAGATATGTGTAAATAATACTCCAACTGCAGGACGTATTTAAGAGAAATTACTAATACTGTATTTTGAAGTCTTTGTGTGTCCCTCTGCACTCATGATAACCAACATCCTGATGTATTTTTATTTTTGAGGGAAACGAGATCAAACTTGGGGCTCCTTAGACATACTAAGCAAAATGTTCTACCACTGAGCTATACCCCTACCCTCACTGAATTTTTTAAATCATTCTTTTGTTTTACTGCGTACTTTTTGTCCTTAATTTATTGTTGTTTTAAATTTTTGAACTTTAAAAAAATAGCCACAAGCCAGGCATGGTGGGACACACCTGTAATCCCAGCACTTGGGAGGCTGAGGCAGGAGGATCATTGCAAGTTCAAGACTAGCCTGGGCTACAAAGTGATTTCAAGGCCACCCTGAACTGCATAGCGAGACCCTGTCTCAAAAAGACGAAAAGAAAAAAATAGTCACAGAGAATATGTTTTTGGGGACTTGATTTTTTAAAAAATTTTATTCAGTAACTTTTGAGATTTATTCTTTATATTACATCCAGTTGTGATCATTTATTTTTATTGCTGTGTAATATTCTATGCATGAATAAGCCATAGTTTATATAAACGTGCTAACGTTGATATTCTGTTAATATAGAAAATTACATTAGTTTTCTAGTATTAAACCAAACTGGCGTTAATAGCATAAACGCACATCGATCATGATATATTTTTAAAAGTAATTTTGTTGGTGAGGTTGGCCTGTAATTTTCATTTCTCAGACCTTATGTAATGTGGTATGAGTGTTGAGTTACCCTTATAAAAGGAATTGGTATTTTCTAGTTTTCTGTGTACAAGTCTTGCATCTCATTGGTTAAATTTTATTTCAAATAAGTAAATTTTTTTGATGATATTGTGAATGTGATTTTTTTCTTAATTTTTTTTTTATTGTTGATTGGTAATGTATAGAAACACAATGGACTTTTTTGTGTTGTACTTTATTTGTATTTTTCCACTTTGCTGAATTTGTATAGTAGCTTTACCAGTTTTTTAGTGGTTCTTTGGGGTATTTTGGGATCATCTCTGAAAAGAACTTTATTTTTCCTTTCCAATTTGGTTGGCCTTTGAGGATTTTTATAAAAACATGTTTTTAACTGATGATTTTTTCAGCTAATTGTAATATAGGTAGACAATATAATTTTTGTGAAACTAATTCTTCAAAATTTGTTAGTCATGCTTTTGATTTTATTTATAGCTTCATTTTATTGCCTAAAATACCTGTCATTAAACAATATATTTTTTAGTTTTGCTTAATTTGAATTTTATTTTAATGGGATAATTACTTATTGTTTTGATATTCGCTTGTTCTACTTGTGCTATGGACTAAATTGTGTCTTCCCAAAATTCATAAGTTGAAACCCCAGCCCTCAAAGTTATGGTATTCAGAAACAGGGTCTTTGGAAAATAACATGACAGGGGACCCTTTTCTTACAAGAAGAGATACTGGAGAGCTTGCTTTTGCCCTGGCCCTTGCCGTGTGTAGACAAAGAAAACTGTTACCCATACAATGAGAGGACAGTCCTATAGCAGCAGTGACTGCTGCCCCTTGATCTTGGGTGCCCAGCCTCCAGAACTGATAGAAAGCAAATTTGGTACTTAAGCCACCCAAGACTAAGGTATCTGTCATGGCACACTGTGCTGAGACCATCTCTTCCACATTAAGATTTTGAGACTCATTCGTATTTAAGAGTATAACTCACTTTTTAATGTAATTTCATTGTATACTATAATGTGATTCCATAATTTGGGTCGAATGGTGCACATACAGATTGCTTTCACTTTTTACAACAGTGCTTTTATGAACATTCTATGTATCTTCTGGTGCACAGGTTAAAAGAGTTTATTATATCTAGATCTATATCTGTTTTTATAATTGTCAAGATTCAGTTGCTTTTAATCTTCAAAAACAAGGGTTTCATATTGTTTAAAATAATATCAAGAAGTAAAAATAATATCAAAAAGTAAAAATGTTTTAGTTGATAAAACTTTTCCCACGTGGTTGCACTGTTTCCCCCCCGACACACACTGATGGGGTGAGCATTTGTTTGGTTTCATATATTTTCTCAAGATTGGATGCTGCCATATAGCACTTGTGGAACTGTCTCATTACTTTAATTCATATATAACTTAATTTTTTCCTCTTCATGATTTTGTCTAGCTTTATGTTTTGTTTGGCAAGCCAGTTCTTTTCTTACTGGGATGTAGATTTAATATTTCTAGAACCAGTTCTTGATTTTAGGTCATCCTTATACAAAGATGAGTAAGATAGACTCTTTAAACTCAGTCTGCACTTAATAAGGGTTAAACTTAACTGAAAGCTACAAACTTCTGTATTATTCATTCAAATATAGATGAAAAACATGAATTTTTTTTATATCCCTGTTTCACTTTATTCATTTCTAAACCAGTAGACTTTGACTAGTGCATATCTAGTTTTCGTTTTACTAGTGTATGAAATTTATGTGGTTTTTTTCTTGTTGGTTTTGAAACTTAGGAATAAGTTACTTTTATTAATGGTAAACTGTAAGATGTTGATTTTTTTTCTTTTTCATGAGAAAATTATCAGGTCTTCTGTAAAGTATAATTTAAGTCGGTTCTTCAAGGACACTTCGCTTAGATGGATTTCCTAGGCTGATATTAATACTTTTTATTTTAAAAAATTCTAAAAATGCCTTTAAACCTATAAAATTGACCCTAATGTATATGAATTATTCTTTCTCAGAGTGAAGACACACAACAGCAAATCATCAGGGAGACTTTCCACTTGGTATCTAAGAGAGATGAAAATGTTTGTAATTTCCTAGAAGGAGGATTGTAAGTAAAACATTTCATAGACATTTCTAATATTTTACTGATTAAAATACATATTATTTAGTCCATTTATGGTAAAAAAAATTCATTTTGCTTAATTGAATTAGGTGAATTGTTACCTATGTTAGCTATAAATCTAGTTCAAAGAATTTTTTTAAAGATCTATAGAGTCTTCCTAAAGTTATGTATTTTTATGTACAGCTGGTATATTCACATGGTAAAAATTCAAACTTTGTAGAGAAATACAAATTATTAGAGTCTACCTGTCCCAACCTTAGTCTTTCTTCCCAGTTTCGTATGTATCCTTCTAGAAAATTTATTTTGCACTTACTAACATAAATTTGTAACTTTAATCCATTTTACGTATGAGGTCACACTATAGGCTCACTAGTGTCTTGTTTGTTTTTGCTTTGTATTTTGCAAAGCTTTGTCTATAAACACATAGCCATCATTCTTTTAATGACTATAGAATACTTCTCAGGCTAAAAAGTCATAAAAATTTAGATTATCCTTTATTATTAAAAACAAGAGTAAAGTCTTTATTTTTCAAATATATCTGTTCATCTATCTATATACCTATAGTATAAATGATCTACTTTTGAAATGGATAATTACTTGTAATTAGCTTGCCAAATATTATATTTCTTTTTTCTTTTTTTTAAGGTCTAGCTATGTAGTTGAAGCTAGCCTTAAACTCACTGTAGAGCTCAGGCCGGCCTCAAACTCACTGCAATCCTTCTGCCTCTGCCTCCCCTGTCCTTGGATTACAGGCGTGTACCACCATGCCTGGCTCCAATATTATACATAAATACTTTTGGGTCAAGGATTGAGATAGGATCTTGCTGTTTTGTTCAGGTTGGCCTTAAAAACTCACAGTGTAGCTTAGGCTGACCCGAAACTCACAGTGATCCTCCTGCCTCAACCTCCCAAATGCTGGGATTATAGGTATGTGCCACCATGCCCAGCTATAAATACTTTTAAATTATAGATTCTGTGAAAACACTGTACTCTCACATTTTCATAAATATTTCCTCTCCATTTATATAATTAATAAACTTAAATTATTTCCTTATTGAAAATTTAAACTTTAAATGAGCATCATTATAAATAATCAAAGATTAGTTAGAGAAATCTAGACTTTTCCATATTTTAACTATTAGGATATGGGATTGAAATGTGAAAAAACTGTTGTAATAGAACATGATGTGAAAAAATTGTTCAGGTAGTAGAACCCATTCTTATCTGATGATAAATTTTTATCATGTAGAAAGTTAACTTGAATTTCTTAAGGTTGTAACACGCATAAATGTGTAATGCATACTTATAATTTGTAAGTTGTGTTATTAACTTGAGACTTCATTAACTTATGAGATGAGGATCTCACTCTGTGGCCCAGTGTAGTCTCCAGCTGGTGGACTTGAATGATTCTCTTGTCTCGGCCTCTCAAGTGCTGGGAGTACAGGTCCACGATACCATGCCAAGCTGAGACTTCTACTCTAATGGCTGAGATAAAGTATGCCTGCTTCTCATTTGGCATTTTATGTGTTCTCGATCTCTTAAACCACTATATGACTTTCATTGCTTTTGCCATTATCACTTTCTCTCATCTTAGCCTCTTAATTTCTTACCTCACAGGAAAATTTTCATCAGAACAATGCATTGCTTGTAGTACCTATATAAGAACCTCATAGATGTAACAGCTGTTTGAACTAGAAATTATGGCTTGGAATTTTCTAACCTTATAAAAAGTAGGAAGTAAATACTAGAACAGAGATGAGGTGATACATCTGGATTCATCCTGATTTTGTCCTTACCAAACTTAGGTTGGTCCTTCAAATTGGTGGACCTTAGTTTTCTCCTCTAAACTGGGATCTGGACTAAGATTTCTAAAATTTTGTGGTCTTATATGATGTATTATATTTCATCTCAGAATTTATATCCATATTATAAGTTTAAAGATGAAATTTTCTTTTTAAAGGCATGCTGTATACTTGCCATATCAATATCTTTGGTTTCTTTTAGTAACATTATTGGTAATCTTGAAACATGGTTTCAAAAGTTTGGTTTACTTTTAAAGCAAAGCAAAAGAAAATGCTAAATTGCTGATTTAGGATGAAGTGAAGCCCACTATTTTTATTTTTTCTGTCTCTTTCAGTGAATCATTTTGACTGTAGTCAAAATATAATCCCAGAATCTTTAAAGTACATATTTTTAAGTATCTTTACTAGAAAACTAGCATAATAGAAATTCTTTTTAGAGGTCACTTCTACTTTTGTCATAGGAGGACGTAGAAGTAGTATATACTATTAGAGAAGTTGTTTCTGTGGAATATGGAAGTTTAGTGTTAAATTTACTAAGAAATACGTTCTATTTTCCTGTGTTAAATTGTTTGAATGTTTAAATAACTTTGAATATATTTAATCTTGGTTTTAAATTAGGTTAGTGTTTAGAGGTCTTTTGTGAAGGTGAAATTGTTATTGTAAAATTGACCACATATAGCTGAACTGTATTTAGAAAAGTATAAGATGTCTGGAATGATTCCTAAGTTATTATTTATAAAATGCTAAAATTCTAGTGAATATACATAAAAGCATTTTGTGAAAGAATTAAATATCTGTTAGCTCCTTGCATTTATGTTTCAAAATGGATGTTTTTTGGAGGAGATCTTGGTGGTAAATGTAAACCTTAAGAAATGTCATTCCTTTTTTTGCTTTGTTTTGTTTTCTAGTTGGTAATCAATCTTAAGATGTGTAACTTACTGTGACCTATGGAGTTAAATCTAGTAAGCACCTACAAATGCCCTATGATCTAATTTCTGCCTACTTCTTCAACCTCGTTTACTAATCTTTTCTTGTCCACTGGCTGCCTTCTTCTTCCTTGAACATACTTTGTTCTTGATGAAATGGCCTTTTTATTAGTTGTTACCTTAAGCTGAAACACTCTTCTAAAGTTTTCACAGAAAACCTCCTAACCATTAGACCTCAGGCTGAATGTCACTTTCTTAATACCCAGTGAGAAGTAGTGAACCCATCGGTATGACCGTATCCTGTTTTGTCTCTCTGTATAGCACTTTTCACTATTTGATAATTTTCATACTTGTTGGTTGTTGCTTCTATCAGTGTGTGGCATGTGGTAGTCACTCAGTGAGTAGTTTTATGAATGAATGAGTGAATTAGTTAAAATTAAGCACTGATTTCACCGGCTTCTTTTAATTGACATTTCTAAAGAAAATGGCCATCTTAATTAGTTTCTGAAATAATTGCACTTTAGTGCTATGCCATTATTACTTTTAATTTTATGAAAGGCTTTTAAACGCATTGTCAGTTTATTTGAGCTAATGAAAATGTCTTGCATTTTGTTCCCTATAACATTTTGCTTTTGTTTTGTCATTCAGATTAATTGGAGGATCTGACAACAAACTAATTTATAGACATTATGCAACACTATATTTTGTCTTCTGTGTGGATTCTTCCGAAAGTGAACTTGGCATTTTAGATCTAATTCAAGTAAGTTAACATTTGCCTTTTACTGTGTTAAATAACAGTTTTGTATTTATGTTTTCTTTAAAAGTTTTATATTCAAATTTTTCTAAGATGCTGCTCTGTTTGGTGAGAGAGAGGTGTTCCATAATAGATACTGAGTGGGGCTACACAAGCAAGGAAGCTAATTTGATTAAGGCTTATCTTCCCCCATGCCCACCCCCGCCGCCTCCTTGCTGTTCATGAGTTACTGCAAGAAACCTAAGATTCATGAACCTCTCACCACATGTGTCCAAATCTGTCCCTAAAACCTGTCTCCTGTGTCCTGAAAATTTTTCATAATGTCCCTGAAACTCAAGGTTACTCATCAGAAAGTTCTTCCTTTTTAATCTCTTCTGTTAATACTACTTCACCTTTTTGCTGTGTGTTGAATCTCTACCTTCAACCTCCTCAAGTACCTGTTTCCTCTTTTGCCTTTTTCATATCCTTGACACCGGGACTTGTTCTTTTTCCTTCTTCCAGAACATTGTCTGTTTTAAACTATTTCCAGGTTTTATCTCATGTTATCAAATTACTCCATGTGGTTGCAGTCCATTCTTTCTGTCTTCCATTCATTAGAGATTTTGTCAACAGCAAGGATCTGAGATTTTATTCTACAAGTAAGCTGACAAGTTAACCTACCACAGTTTCATGGATACTGGCAGAATATAAAAGACTTCTATGCCAGAAACAAAGGACTTTATTACTAACAGCAAAGACATCATCCAAAAAAGAAAGAAAGAAAGCCTTTGCTTGCACTGGTTCCTCAGCAGTTGTGAAAAGGGCAATAAGGCCAGGTGAAACCTGATCTGGTTGGTTGAACTGCAGCTAAGGAACCCCAAGCACAGGGAACTGCAGTGTTTTATAATGGATGTGAAGAATGTCTGCCCTTATTTGAGAGGAAGATGTTATCTCTTCTAAAGGAGAAGGTAAATCTATCTTTTTCACTGGAAGAAGATACTATTTTCCAAGGCTTTTTGTTTCAAGCACACTTGAAAAGGTAGTCCAGAACAAAGACAATGAGTAACTCTTCTCACAGTGTGTTCAGAAATGTGAAACACACAGCGAATTGTCTCTTAAAAGATCTTGTTTCCTAGTTCACAAACATTTATTCCAAGAGTGCTTTATTATAATTCTTGGTGATGTCAGTGTTCGTGTGGATAATTCTCCAGTAAACCAGTGTCTTGAAAGCTGAAACTCCTTCTCAATGAATTTTGCCTCCCACCCCATACTTCCCACTTCTAGACCTCATTTTTATCCAAACTACAGCCAGTCCTTTATCTCGGTTTCACAGTTTCTTGCATCAGCTATGTCTTATCTTTTCATCTCATGATTTTTATTACTCTAGCAAGACTTTGGGTCTCACAGTTTTTTATATCTTATCATTTTTTCACTCTCCTTGATCCTACTGATGTCTTGCCTTTTGTTAATCAACCTAAAGTCTTTGGCCAGTCATAATAATCATATCCTTCTATACTTAACTCCTTGTCTGTACTCATATATCTGAAAATACCCAGAAGAAAAATCAAACCTCCTGGTCTCACTTAAAATCTAGGACCCTTTGTGGCGGCCAGGTTTGATTGGCAGCCTGACAAGATGAAGAGACACCTAGAGCAGTGACTGGACTGCAGGGCACTGGCCTGCCCGGTGGGTTAGCACACGGACAGGTTCGTAGGGGAATTGGCTCCTAAGGGGAGGCAGAGTTGGAGGAAGCGGTCACTTGGTGTGGTGCCTTTGAAGTGTGTTACCTTTTCTTGGGTTCTTTCCCTGCTCCTCTGCTTCCTGGTTTCCGTGCATGAGCAGCTTTTCTGTGCTGGGCCGCTCCACCACAGTGTTTCTGCTTTGGAGCCGATTATACACTGAAACCCATGAAACTGAGCCAGAGGGCTGGGAGAGAGCTCAGCAGCACAGTGCTGGCCTGGCAAGCATGAGGTCCTCAGTTCTATTCCCAGGGCCCACAAGAAAACAAAAAACAAACCAAAAAAATCAGTGGATGAAACTGAGCCAAAGTAAACCTTTCCTCTGTGCAGTTGTGTATGTCAGCACAACAGCATGCAGGTGAGTAATACAATCCCTAATATCCCATGTCCTTTACGCTGCTCAGTAATCATATGTCCTTTACTCTCCTGTACTCCTAGATCACTTACAGACGCATCGTTCTCCTTCCTCAAATCTCTAGGACTTCAACACATTCCTTCCTATACTGCAGATGGAGAACTTCCACAGACCCCCACTGTCTACCTCTCTACCTACCTCTGTGCCCTTGTGTTGTGCTGTACTTTTTTGTGAGCGAGGAAGTTACCATGCTCCGAGCGGAGGCCAGCCTATGCGCTACTAAATTAGTTTTTACCTCTTCATTGCCCAAGCAGTCCTTCCCTTTTGTATTACTATTTTTCCTCTGTCTTCTGAATTATTCTTTATCAGTGTTGCTGAATCCATGGGTTCTCATCAGTGCTCCTGTATTTTAGTATGTGTGCCGCTAAAGCAAGCACTTGGTTCAGAGTGTTGATCACTCTCTGTGAAATACTTCCTTCCCTTGGTATGTAGGACAATTTACTTCTCTGGTTTTTATCCCACCCCTTCACTTACCTCATTTTGGTTTATTTCTCCTACCTCCAAATGTTGACTATGCCCTGGGGTTCCATCTTTGTCTTCTCTTTCTTGGCTTTATTCATTTGCTAGGTGATTTTTATTCTAATATTATGTATATATTGATGGCACCAAAATTTGAATCTTCAGTCCAGACCTTTGCTCTTAATTCCTGTTTTGATTACTCAACTTCCCACTGGACATCTCAACTGGGTATCTTCTACAGATGTGAAACTTAATGTGTCCCCAACTGGAGTGTATATGGTCCATCAAAAATGTGTACCTCCTGCAGTTTCCCCTTATCAATTAATAACAAATTCTTTCTTCCAACTGAGTCAGCCAATATATGGGTATTTATCTTTCATTTTCATTCTTTAACTACTCCCCCCCCATCTACTGTCTCCTTCTTCAGCAGATTCTATGGGATCTATATCATCTGACCACTTAACTACCCTCTCTACTATAACCACCTTGGTCCAAGGCACTACAGTTCTTTCTTGGATTATCGTAATAGTTTCCTGATTGGTCTCCCTGCTTCCACTGTTTTTGTTTTGATCTATTTTCACTCTGGTTTTTACTTAATGCGGCAGCCAGAGTGATACTACCAAAATATGCTGCATCTTACATTCTTCTATTTTGAAGTCTTCGGTAACTTCACTTTGCAGTCTTGTCAAGTTGTCCTTGAGGTCCCACACGAGCTAACTTCTTTCTCCTATTACTTATCTTCATCTCTGCTCCTTTCTCCTTTGCTTGCTTAGCTTCCTTGCTTTTCATTCCTTAGAGACACGAGGTGTGCCTCTACCTCTGAGCGTTATACTTTCTGAACTTTGCACTTAAAATATTCTTCCATTTTATAGTCCCATGGCTGGTTCATTCATTTTTTTCAGATTTTGACCTGGCTGTTACTTTCTCAATATGGTATTTTCTGACCATTGTTTCTAAAACTTGTCCTTCTATATTTTCTAACTCCTTCCTTGTTATATTGTTTTTTTAAGCACCTATTACCATCTAATATACTATATTGGTGACCTACTTTATTGCATGTACTGTCATTTGCTCTTATAAGAATATAGTTGTGCTGCTGTAAACATGGGTATACATGTATCCCTGTAATATGTCTTTCATTCTTTTGGGAAGATACCTAGAAAGAGAACAGCTTGAGTCATGGAATTTCTAGTTTCAGATTTTTGAGGAATCTACATACTGCTTTCCATGAAGGTTGTACTAGTTTACATTCCTGCCAACAATGTAGAAGGGTTTGTTTTTTCCCCATAGCCTCACCAGCATTTATTATTATTTGACTTCTTGATAGCCATTTTTTCTGGAGCAAGATAGAATCTCAGTGGTCTTTTAATTTGCACTTAAGCAAGGCTTGCTTGCATATGCCTGAAATCCCAGCATTGGGGAGGCTAAGGCGGGAGAATCACAGTAAGTTCAAGGCTAGCCATAGTGAGACCCTGTCTCAAGAAAAAAAAAAAACAAAAATAATTTTTCATTTAACTAAAAGTCAGTGATGTTGAACATTTTTTCATGTATTTATTAGCCATTGATCATTCTTCTTTAGTGTCTATTCATTTGAGTTGCCTTTTTTTTTTTTATTTTGGGAGGGTAATTTTTTGAGGGTTTTTAAAAAAATATGTATTCTGTATATTAGTACTCTTTCCAGGGTATAGCTGGCAAAAAAATTCTTTCCCATTCTATAGATTTTCTCTCCATTCTGTTGGTTGTTTTCTTTGCTGTGCAGAAGCTTTTCAGTTTGATATAATTCCAATTGTTGATTCTTGAAGTTACTTCTAGTGCAATTAGGGTTCTGTTCAGAAAGTGCTACCTATGCCTGTGACTTTAAGAGTTTTACCTGTTACCTTCCAGTGGATTGTTTGTATTTTAATATTTACCTCTTTGATCCATTTTTATTTTAATTTAGTACATGATGAGAGATACAGGTCTAGATTCAATCTTCTTCATGTGGATAGACAGTTTTCCCGGCACCATTTACTAAAGAGGCTGTCTTTCTTCCCGTGTGTGTTTCTTTGCCATTTTGTTGAAGATCACATAGTTGAATGTACCTAGTTTTTAACTGGTCAGCAGGTGTTCTCTCCAAGTTTTTATGAGCACTGGGTCTCCAGGGAGGACACTAGGTGGTGCTGCTGGGCTAGGAGCTGGCAGGACTCCGTTCCCGCGCATTTGGGTAGCTTGTTGTACTTGGCCCAGATTGGTGAGATATTCTACGCGTCTAGTGGTCTCTGGGTTGACTGTCATCAGAGGATAGAAATGGCTCCCATGTAATACCTCAGATGGGCTCAAACTTAGCCCAGTTTTAGACATGCTGCCAACTTGCATGAGCACCCCTAGCAGCAATCCTGGCCAGGGCTCAGATATCTCTTGGCAGAGTTCTGCCA